AATGAATGGATACAATGAGTTTAACAGGGGATGCTCTAGGAGTGAAAGCAACGTGAACACCAAGGAATTGTGGGTAACAAGAAAATGAGAGTGTGCTAATGATTGATGCAGACAAGCAATGAGTAATTCCAGAGCTCACAGTCAAACAAACTGCTTGTGGCACTAATACTCGTGCCCAATTACCAATTCAGAAGGAAAGTAAAAAGCAGTTTCAGGAGAGTCAGGGTGGGAAATCTCCAATTAGCACCAATTAGTGAAGTTGCTTCCTAGAATGGAATTCTGGGGACATTAAAAAAAAAAAAATCCTCCCAGGATGCCTGATGGAAGCATTTATTTACCAGCTGGTGAAACTCCTAGAGTATAACTTGATGAGGATTTGTGCCTATGGGACATGAATGGAGATACTAGTTGGAACTTGCCTGCTCGATTTGACTGGTCAATCATGGGCTGTACTATTCTTCTTCTGGCATTAATAAACCTGAAACAGAACAGAGAAGCCCAATCATCTAAGGCGGTTTCGGTGCCCCGGGAGCACTTTCGCACGAACGCTGAGGAGAATACAACGTGGTCAAACATCTCCTGAAAATTCTCAATTCTTAAATCCAAAGGCAGTTTTCCCTTTCCAGGGTTCAAAAATAGTTGACTGGATCATCTCCATCACCTCCCAACCCACTCGAAGTTGACTTGTGACAAAGACTCAGGGAAGGTGGGGAGAGCTGGGGGGAGAAAAGGGTTCCCTGAGAAAACGTCTATTAATTTGCCATCGTGTTTCTGCTTCTTGAACAAGCTGGAATCTGGTTAAAGTTCACAGGCTGGAGGATTTTTTCCCCCCCTTTCCCTAAACTCCCCATCATAGGGAGATCTAGCTTCCCCTTTGCAGCTGGTCATAAATGGAGACCAGGCTCTGGCCCTGTGCTTTCACAAGGTATTGTTAGGTCAGCAAAGCCATCAATTAGGCTGTCTGAAGTTTTATCACCAACACAGCAGTAATAAGTGCTGGCCAGAAAGACTTCTGCTCTTCGGCAACTCCCGCAGTTTAAGCCTGTAAAGTTAGGGGTCATTTAGAGGTCAGTGCCAGCTGGGGGCGGCCTTTCCAGTCTAGGCTGGGACACTCAGGGCAGGGATAAGGTAACTGCCAACCATAAACCGAGCCACCTTTCAACCCACTAGAAAGACAGAGCCTCAGGTACACATGGTTGATATTAGAGCCCAAAAAACGTTCTCAAATCAGGTGGTGGCTGAATCACAGGAATGTAAGGAGCAGCAGTTACTTCGTCTAGAAGCCTGGATCTAATTTTGTGGGAAATCCAAAAATAAGTGCCTACTTCGTGTTACTTTAATGTTTAATAATGCCCATCAAATATTCATGTACAAACAGTAAGATGATAAGAAATCTCCTTTATTTCTCCAAATTTAATAAAAACAAAACCATTTTCTACTGTTTGCAAGTTACCCTTGTCCCTGTGCATTTCATGATGCGCATTGCCCGCACATTTGAGCTGATGTACGGGATTCACTTGGCTGTGCATTTTGGCAGGGGGGGGGGTCACGGAGGGAGGGCAGGATGCCTAGAAGACAGCTAGTGGTTCTTTAAAAATATAAAAATATACCCACTTACAACATTTCCCAGTATTTCTAGTCTCAAATCTTAAGTGCAGGGGGACTTCATGATTAATGAGTCCGCATGGGGCCACAGGCAGGAACTGAAAACCCATTCTTTGAAATTAGCCAGAAAAATTCTAGTGTGTGTTGGCAGCTCTGCGTTCCTAAGGAGTTGAAGTCCCTTCCTAGGAGGACAGCAGCCCACACTTTGGTCGGGCCTCCTGGGAGCACTCTAGTGGGAATACAGTTAGGCCAAAGAATAAGAGCTGCAAGAACAACCAAAGGTGTCTTTTGCATATGGTGTTTGTTTGCAAAACAATGAACTTCTTTATTACTTAAGCAAGTATAGCTCAGTGGTCAAAAAATGCTACACCCCCTCAGGTTTGGGGGGGTGCGGTGGGGGGAGAAGTGACAGGCAGTGAGAGGTGAAAACAAAAGGAGAGTTGAAACTGCACATTTATTCCCGCCTGGCACGTAAACATCACTGAGGGCTATCTGACCAGATCACAAGGCGTTCCAGAAGCATCTCTTAAATCGGAAAAGGAATTTATCTACTCTTTCCCCACTGTTTTTACTGGGACCAAGGAGGACTGACCCGTGATTTGCACCCCCAGGAACTCTCTTTATCAGCTCAGGTTAAGACCAACTGGGAGGCTCAGGAGAGCCTGGAGAAACCTTTTCTCTCCTCCTTGAAGTTTCTAAGGGAGGACACACATGGCAGAGGTTTCACCTCTTTTTAAGTGCTACTAATCCTAGTTTTGTTTTTTCCTATGGGCCAACTCTTTAGGTAAAACGAATTGCTATTTTTTCCCTTTTTAATTTCACCCTTTTACTCTTTCATTATTTACATCTGGAGGTTGTTCCCTTATTTATGTCTTTCTCTCCAGTTCCCCCAAACACTCCCTTCCTCGCAGAGCTGCAAGGCATCATGGCTCTTAGTTCGCAGCAGGAGAACTCCACACTGTCTTCAAACAAATAATTACGGGGAAGGTTAGAGGTTCACTCAAAGGTCATTTCTTTGGATACTCGTCAGAATGTTTACATTAGTAAAAACAGGGGTCCGCTCAAAAGGTTGTTCAATGGGGACACACAACAATGCAGGACATTAAAAAAGCATTCTGTGTGCTAGCAGGTCTTTATAGAAGCGCTGAACTTGGAAATGCCACTCCAGTCTTACATTTTCGACTAGTTACCATAGCATGGCCTGGATGTTCACTAGCAGTTATGGCGATGGCCTTTCCGTGCCCAGTTCTACTAAACAAATATGCATAGAAGCCTCTGAAGGTTTTCAACTAGATCCTTTTACAAAGGGTTCGGGAGAGTCTGCACTTTTGACGTGGGTTCCATTCAGCGTCTCTGAATTTTTGTTCTCAAACAATGTTTTTGATCCATAGGGCTATATCTTGCCAGATTCATAATTCTACCATATTCTTTCAAATCACACAGAATTTTTAAAACATATGGGCCCCAATTTTTCAGAAATCTCTTAACTTACAAACTCCTGCCAATTGTCAATGCCCCTGATCTTGGGATATCTTTTGTAAATACCATAGATGTTGTTATAAAAATGAATAATTAATGAGTTGACTGTGAGTTAACACTAAAAAAAATGAGATTACCCCACCATACTGATGATCCACAGGCCTCTGTTGGAAAACATATCAATGTATATAAAATGGAGCCATTTAATTATAGATCTTAAAAAAAATCAAAGTAGGAGTAACTTTTATTTCTTTAGTATTACTAAGATAAAATTTCCAAATGCAGTCTTTCCCCAAATTACATGACATGAAATTTTTTCCACTTCCTCTGATCTATATTTTAAAATGACCTTATTCAGTGCTCAAGCAGCAAACAGAATATCAAGTTTTGATTCTACTTAAAATTTGAAGAGTCTAAGTTGAAAAATCAACCGATCTTCCATCTTTCAAGGTCCAAGCTCCATTCATATGGAAAAATGCAACTCACTGGTTCAAAGACAAAAGATTTGTCTTAAAAAGACTCAAAAGGTTTTTTGGATATTAAATGGGTCTTACAAAATAACATTTTGATGAGTTAAGTGTAAATGAATCAGACACATATGGATTAAGTTATCCTTGAATTTCACACGGGTTTAAAAAATAAGGGGAAAAGAGGGTCTTGGCAAAAACATTTTGGACTTTGCCAAACCCAAAACATTTGAAAAATTGCTGAAGACATCCAACTAACCAAAATGCAGCAAGCTGCACCCAACTTTAATGAAAACCCCCACAAGTTATTTCCAATTCAAAGACTGTTAAGTTTTTCATCTGTATCTGATATTAAAAATTTTTCTAAGTTTTAATGTCATCCCCAAACTGATTTTGAAGTTGAGGATATATAATATACTTCTTTATTGGTATAAACAATTTAACCTGAAATTACAAAGTCTTTTAGAAATTAAATAGCTCTTAAAAACATCCTGAGATTTGTAAAACTTGTGTGTAAAATGTGCCATATATGATAAATGCCATAAATAAAATGTGCTAGTAAGCTTAGTGCCTTATCCAGATTTCACTTAGCAAAAATTTTCATTAGCCTCATTGTGACTTTTTTTCAGGGCTACAGATAATTCCATTAGTGACTCCTTAGGGAATGAGTACCCTAAAGTGCACTAGTTCCATTGATTTGTATTGAACACAAAGTTAGTATCCAGGCTCACACGAAGACTCTGGAGAGTATCTACTAAGACTATCTACTTTCTCACTAAATTTTACAAAAATAGAAAATGCATTAGTATGTGCGATTCTTAAAAATTATATACTGACTGTTAGCTTAAAAATAACTCAATTATAGAAATAAATTCAATGACTTTCCAAGAATCATGAGGCCTTTCCGAGTCAACTTAGAGATGAAAAAAAGAATACATTAAAAAGAATAAACCCAAGGGAGCAAAACATCATTGAAATCCCACCCTGCTGTCTTGCTGGAGAGACAGCTCCTGGAGACCTCCCCACCCCCAAACCCCACCTCAGTCCCCCCAACAGAAAAGCCAAACTTTTCAGCTTTGCATATTTTTCTGCCACTGAAATCTGACCATCGTGGTTTTTCTTTGAAAGGTTTTTCACTCCAAAGCATATTTCAGATTGATAGAAGTAGGCTTAGGTGTCATTCCTGCTTGTTGGTTGATTTCTTTTCTTTTCTTTCTCCCCCTCCCCGCCCCCCCCACCTTCTTTTTAAATGACTGATAAATCCCTTCTTTCTGGTTCACTAACTTCATGCCACACCTGGTAACAAACTTCTTTCGGCAGCATTCCTTTTGTTAGAAAGTACAGGCCTCTGTGGAGTCACCTGGAAGGCCGCCAGCCCTGAACGCTCTGAGGAGGAACCAGGTATCCCTGCATGGAAGCTTTTCCATGGACTGGTCTGGTCCAGGAAGGGGGTTGAACTGTTGAAGAGGGATCAGATTAACTTGGAAGAGGTGTTAGAGGCCGCTTGGTGACTGGGGACCTGTTGAAAAATGAAAAAGTTCTGCTTCTCCACTTTCCCCAGCCGTGGGACTCCTCAGTGAGGGTGCCCATTCATGAAGCTTGCTACTGGTTGGCCTCGGAAACAAGGAAGCCTCAACCCTGACAAATCAGTTCGCAGGCTTCTTCACTGTTTCTCTTAGTTCACACACACAAGAAGCAAGTTTTTTTTCTCTGTGCTGCGGTTATGGCTAAGAGTGGGATTTTCTCAGTAAGATACATAAAAATGGTTCAATCGGTGAACTAAGCAGGTTTAATGTCTTTGAACATGTACTCAGGCCCGTGAATGATGGGGTCATGTTGCCAACGTTAAGTTTTTCATTGATGGCCACACAAGGAGTCTTTTCTCACAGACAACTGTGAGCAAAGTAAGGTAAATGAAGGAGATTCA